CTGGCAAGTTCTTCCCTTTCTAGGTATTTTCCTGAAAGAGTTAAAGACATCATATTACTGTAATATATGCATGCCAGTTTCTAAAATGATAATTCATAATAGCTAACCCTTGGAAGCAGCCTGTTATGTCCATCAACAGATAAATGGATAAAGAAAATGTGGAATTCATATACACTGGAGTACTATTCTGCCATAAAAAAGGATAAATGTGAGTTATTCATAGGAAAATGGATGCACCTTGAGAACATAATGTTAAGTGAAGTATGGACATAGATTTGAATATCATATGGTTTATTAATATGAGAAATCTAATATACAAATAAAATACAAAATAAAACAGACAATAGGGAGAGAAAAAAAGAATGTTATTGTAATCCAGCATGGACAATGTGTCTAAAAGTGTACCTTGATTTAGCATAATTTTTTTTAAACGATGTATTTAAATTATTTTTTAAAAAATTAGTAGCCTGTTATCTGGCTGCTAATCTGTATTTATGACAATTAACTTCATAAGGTGAAGTTAATAAAATAAGTGAATGTGATGCTGGCAACAAAAGTTAAAAAGGGGGAGAATGGGAAGGATAAAAAAAGAATTGAAATGTGATATGTACATGCACCAATTCCTATGATGAATGTACCCATTATTGTTATGACTTGTGTCTAGATGTCCCCCCAAAGCCTCATTTGGTTAGGTGGAGCTTTCTCAGAAGTGGCTGGGTCCACTGGGTGACACTGGGATTGACTTATAGTCAGTGCTAGGGGCACGGGCAGGAGGGTTAAGGGTGCGAGTGCCCCAACCCTGAGAACCCCACGTAAGATACAATGGATAGAAAGAGCTGTGGTTGCCCCTTGTTTCCTTGCTGACTTCTGCATCTGCCATGGACTGCTTCTCCTCTGTGATGCCCCTCTGCCATGTGCCACTCCGCCTTGGAGCCAGCCAGCTATGGACTGAAACCTCTATAAACTGTAGGTGAAATAAACTTTTTCTCATTTAACTTTGGGTGTTGGTTTTTTTGCCTCAGCAACAAGAATGGTAACTAAGACAACGGTAACTAAGACATTACTAACAAAAATTAATAACTAAACGAGGGTGTATTTGAAATTATTTCCCAAGGTCATATACTTGGCCCATGCCCATCACTGTAACATGGTCGTCAGTGCCCCTACATTCAGCTTCTGAATTTTCTGACCCTCAGAAGATTCCAGTTGAGGTGCAGGAGAGTCTTGATTCTGAAGTCAGCAGATTCTTCACCATTACAACTTTAGTATTTGGGCTTATTTCTCCTCAGTGTTGCTTGGGAATACAGAAATTTGCTGAGGGAAGGCTCATTTTACTGGGTCGTGCCTCCAGGGAAGAGATCAGAGCATTCACGTAACCTCATCATTCTCTGCCAGTTCAGTAACTGGAAAACTGTAGAAACTGGTAAGTTGCTGTCGGTGTGGTTAGAACTGGCAGCCATGAATAATTCTGGCAACATGACACACTCGCCAGCAGTAATGATGTGAACCACTGGGGAGCTGCAGGAGGAGGAGAAGCCAAGGAGATGGCACTGGAGTTCAGCTTCAGGTCACGTGCAATAGTCACAAGTCAGTGCTTTATAAAGTACTCAAGCACAGGACTATTTTCAGGAAATAAAAGGTGGAATAACTTATTACCCTTTCAAAAGGTAAAGGCTCTTGAAAACACATGGGAAAACTGGTATAAAGAAAGAGCATTTTAAGTAAAATCACGTTACTTTTCCAATTCCTTTGAAGACAGATTGGATAGGAAAAGGAGCTATTATAACTTGTAATTTCAACACATTATTTCAACACATTATTAAGACAGTAAACACATGATTCTAGTCATTATTTTTAAATACAGAATTACTAGGTTCCCATTGAAGGACTGGTTAAAGAAATGAACCTCAGGAAAGATTCTCAGATTGGAGGAGGAGCAGGGTGCTGGGCTCAGTCGGCAACACCCAAGTACCCTTCCTGCTGCACCAAGAGTCTGTGACCATCTTCTGTGAGTGTTAAAAGTTATGTTTTCAAAGGAGCAGAACAACACTTTCTTTTTCCCTCCCCCTGTATGCCTTTCACAGTTTTGTTTGGATATGCAGAAGCTAAAAACAAACAAAAAAATAAACCACACCATCCTTTAGCAACTGAGTTTTTATGACCATCATACAATGCACACAAAGCACTCTCAGGGTTTTTTTGTTTGTTTTTGTTGAAAAATTTGTTCCTTCTGTAGAATCCTCCATCTTTCTTCATGACATCCAAATAAAAATAATCTCAGTTGTCCCACCCTGAACACTTTCCTGTCTTACTGCTCATCAGCTCTCCTCTTTTATGATATACATTTGGGGATTTATTATGTCCTGGGATATTGCAGTTGTCTCCTTAAATGCTTTTCAAATTTTTCCAACTCACCTTTAGCCCTTGACTGTTATTGTTTTGTATCTGGAGTCTACAGATATTTCTAAAATGCAGCTGATGGTGTTAAACCCCTGTCTAAAGTTTTCAGTAACTTCTGCACTCCCTGATGGACAAAGTTCAGACATAGTTTCATGTTATGCAATGACTTTTTTTTTTTTACTTAATCTGGTATTTCTTCCACAAACTGTTCCAGCTGCCAGTCTGAACTAGATTTCTTAATACATTATCTCATACCTACCCTCCCATTTTCACCAAAAGACTCTTACTTATGCTTTAAAACCCAGCTCAAGGAACTTTTCTTTTTTACTGCTTGACACCTTCTTATCTTTATCCTTCTGAGCAGAGCGAGTCATTCTGTCAGTAGAGATACTGGTAGACTCAGAATCCACTGCTCTATTAAACGTTTTCTTCCCTATGAGACTGGGAGTAGAGACCAGGTCGTCCCTATTTGGTGTGTTTTCGTCTGCCACTGGTGTGGTATACAGGAGGTGCTTTTAAATATTGGTTGAGTAAAAAGAAATCCACGCTTAATCCAAATTATTCATTATTATAAAGAAAATTTTTATTGTTTTGTTTTGCTTATACCAGTACTAATCCATGACTTGAAAAAATTTAAAATAGCTGTCGATTTCAAAGAGTGAGTTTTAACTGATCTGTGTACAAATCAAATTCAGATGTTTTGTGCCTTCCCTCTAAGGCCCTCATAGAATCTCTTTCTCCTATCACTGGAGTTTCCCAAAGGCATATAATATGTTTCAGAATAGGCCTGTTATTCCTTGTTATCATGGCTAACAGAGAGAGGGCTTCAATACCCAAGCTGCAGCTCAGCCGTTTTCCCTAAAAGTTTCAGTGAGGATTCATTTTTAGTTGGAGCTCTGCTTCTGAGTTGCAGCTTCTATGATGTTTCATACCAGAAAGTTTGGGACTTGATTTCTCCCTCCCAGCACTAGAGCTGCTGGCATTTTGCTGGGCAGGTGAGAGTGCAGGCCCTGGATTGCTGTACTTGGAGCTGGCTGATTATGGTGTGATGTGTCAAGTGGTCTCACAGAGCCTTTTGTTGAATCTGCTTAGCAATTGTGGGACCTTGGTTCCTTTTCTCTTATGATGATTTCTCAAAGCCATGTTTCCGTCTCTGCCATCTCCAATTGTCCTGCTCTCAACTGTGTTCGTTATCTGAAGACATGTCTCTGTACATCTAAACTCCAGGAGTGCATGGCTCAGATTTATATCTGATGCCTTCACCATCCCATGTAATAACACATTGTCATCCTTTATAGTAGACAAGAAAATAAACTAGACTCTATTCTATGCTTGTGTTAATTGTTTTTCTAATTTATACCACTAGATATTGCTCTTTTGTTTTAATAATAGTAAATGGTCTACCTCTATAAAAGATAAGGCTTGTGATTACTTTTGCTAATTATGGAAAAAACCCCCAAAGTGAAAAGTTGGGTTAGCAAGTTATGACAGTTGTATGCTTTGTTCTTTTGGGAACTGGTTAATGGTATGCTTTTGCCATGTGTTCATTGAGCTTATGTAACTCAGGTGGAGATTATTAAATTTATCTTTTATTTCTGGCTGACTTTGTTTTGTCTGGATATATATCTGTTGTTACTGTGTTGATTTACTTGTGTAGACAAAGTCTGCGTTTTTGAAATATGAGTCCCAGTGAATAAAAACTGATTATGTCAGAATCTCTAACAACAATCATTCTGTGTATCTTGCTCACTTTCCTCATTGCTGAGATGAAATACCTTATACCCATAGCTCAGAGGAGGAGAGGTTTATTTGGGCTCAGGGTTTTTGGAGGATTCAGTCCAGAGGCAACTAGCTCCAAGGCAGGAAATATACAGTGCAAGGGTCTCGCGGAAGAAAGTTGCTCATGTCATTGCTGCCAGGAAACAGAAGGGAGAAAACAGGAAGTGGGATAGATCCTTTCAGGCCCCAAGTGATTCACCTCTTCTGACCGGATCCCAAATTCTTATAGCATGTTTAAAGTACCGATTCACTAGTGGATTAACCCTGAGGGTTATAAATCACTCCTGTGATTTAATCATCTTCTAAAAGTTCTATATGAGGTTTTAGGAGGGACATTTTAGATCCAAAGCATAACACTGTATCTCATATATATGCAGTTATGTATTATATATATAATTATATATTAGTCAAAATTAAAAAAAATATTTGATATAGAATTGCTACTACCCTGATTTGATCATTATACATTTTATGCTTGTATTATCACACTATACCCTATAAATATGTACAATTAAAGTACTACTAATTTATCATTACAAAAACATTTTAAGGTGAATTGAAAACCAATAAGCATGAACACAGAATACACTTTGTGTTTTAGATTTAGATTTTTTTCATAGCTATGATGTCTGTGCAATGGATTGGTACTTCAAGGCCCTTTATTATTTATAAGATCATTCAATCTGACAAATCAGATGTTTTGCTTAGATTTACCAAAATTAGAAAATATGCCAAATATCAGTAATCTCTTCTGGCTTTGAATCAAATCTGCAAGGAAATATACAAATTTCAAATGTATTACACATAAATGAAGAGATACATTAAGGTTCTCAAATAGTCATTTATTAACAAATACAAATTTGAAATGTTAGTGGTAAAATATATCAATATTGAACAAAGATGTGCATAAAAAGTACAGCAATTCTATAACTGGGAGGACATCTCAACTTTGTTAGTTTTGGTGACATCTTCCCAACCACGTCTAATCATCAGTATCCTCTTCCTCAAGCATGGCAAGAACAGTATGGCTTTCCATATCAGGACAATTATTGGAAGGAAAACAGCTATCATAAACGTTGGAGGTGTATACCACACATACTGTTTTGCATCAATCCATTTATTCCAGGCAAAAATCAGTGCATGCATTGTACCCAGTAGGAGGGAAACAATTCCGAGTTTGCTCTGCAAAAGAAAAGCAGTGTCATCTTAGTTAGATTTGGATCTGTTCTGTTGCTTGGGAATCTTTTCATTCCTCTAGGATTCTTTCCCTAACACAATTCTCAACAATGTCCATTCATATCTTTCCTCTCTTACCATTTTGCCCCTGGGTGTTCTTGTCTACAGGCTAAAATGAGAAAATTCATAACCTTCTTTTAGTCTCAGGTGATCAACAGCCCTATTTTTCTTCTCTCTGCCATTTTGTTGATTTCTTTTATGACATTTATTGGGTGCTTTGCCTCCTGTGTAAGTGCCTTAATTCTGTCTACCAACAGACATCTAAAATCAGAAACTGCATCTTACTCATCACACAATTTCTACAAAACTAGCACAACGATTTGCTGCATGTATTAGGTGCTCACTAAGAATTGATAGATTGACCAAAGCTCACTGCAAAGGTCAGTTTGACTTCAGTGATCTTTATCAATTGTGACAGCAAGGAATGTGATTCCTACTGATTTTGGTAAATGAATAGTGAAGTGACTGAGCTTGGACTGTATTTTTAAGAAGTCAAACATTCTGCTAAAATGGAAAAATACTGGAAATTATTTCAGTGCTTGAACAAAATAGAAATCTACTAATGTGAAGAAAATTTCAACTTGAGTTGCAATACTTTGGCATCACAGAGAAAAGTTGCTTACAAATAGTTGTTCACCTATGTAATTTTATGGCATTTTGACAAAAGCTTTTCCAGTTAACTTCTGGCTTCCATTCATTTTACTCCAAATAATCACTGGCCTGCCAGAATCAATCTAACTCACACTTATTCCACTGTACTCTTAGGCCCCAATGAATACTATTAAATAGCTAACTTTATGTTTTCAGATATAAATCTCCAAGGCAAACTGTAGTGTAACCATCTGTTTTACTGTAAATGAAAAATTTCTAGGTGGGTAACTGAAAAATATATGTGATTGTTTGAGATTAATTTCACTAAATATGCATAGTATACTTACTCTGAGCTAGCTATTGTACATATGGTAGGATGGACTCAGCCATCAAGATGCAGTGCTTGAATCCCTAATTAAATAAAAGAAAGTGGTATTCAGCCTATGTGTGACAGGCAAGGTTATGTGAGGTGAAATGATTTCATGAAAAACACAGACCACCAGTGGCTATCAGGCCAAACATGAAAAGTTATAAAATATTTTGCATGGAGAATGTAGTACCATCTTTAAGCCACATTTGAATTATTCAGATGGAGAGACATGTTGTAGCCTAAGCAGATGCCATGGGAAAGTGTCTGTTGGAAACACGTATGAACATGTACAAAGGATAGCAGGGTGTTTGATGCTATGGAAATCTTTGAAGATGTCCACCCATAAAAGTTAAGTCTATGTAATTTAAAAATATTTTGGCAGTGCTGTAATGGAGTTAAATTTAGCCCTCTGGATGTTGTCAGACATGGATACCCTTCTGAATTCTAGTACACTATACTTTTTAAGTGTAATCTCCCACTAAGACATAAATTCCAGTACATTTGGGAGAGTTTTGGATTCCAGGAATATTTAGAAATAAGTAAACTATCTAAAATGTAATCTGGAAAACACAGTTTCAAAATTAGCTACTAGAATACCTTTGTTCGATAAAACTTATTTTAAGGAGAGACTTTTTCCTACATCTTCAAAACTATGTAACTTAAATGGGGTGACTAAATCTGGGGATAAGTATAACAGTATTTTTATTTTGGGGGAACTAGTAAAAGATGGATATTCTTAAAGTATCACATTTATACTTATTAGCCAGGCAATGGATTATCTAACAAGTTTCAGTGTTAAAATACTTTTAGTAATGTCTTTTATTTACCTCTGCAAAATGCATCCTATTTAGAAGCAATAGGGAAAAGAAGAAAATATTAATCAGAACAAGTGTGGAATACTACTGGAAACATTTGTTTTTTATGGTATAAAGTCAATGTACTTTATATTAGAAGCACAGTAAGATTTGCCTCTCTGGGGGACTAAAGTTACTTGTATGTATCATTTACCTGAATACAGTGAAACTCTCTCCATGTCAAAGAATCACTGATAGATGGAATTGATGTCACAGCCAACAGAGCCAGTATTGCAAGTCCCACAATTCCCAGAGACACATAAATCTCCATTCTCCAAACATCATGCTCAATCCAAGCATCTTCTTTATTTTGCTGGACCTACCAGAAGATAAAAGAGGAAAGAACAAATACAAACCACATATGAATCCCCTTCATTTTTTTTTTTTTTGGCACCAGGGATCAAACCCATGACCTAGCAGTTGCCCTGCAGGTGCTTATGCCACTGAGCTAAATCCCTGGCTTATGAATCCCCTTCTATAGCCCCTTATTCTACTATGGAGGTCTTGATAACAAAGATCTGCACAAATTTAGGTTCCTTTTTCTGCATTCCTCTCAGAAAAACGACAGAGGACCTATCACTCTTTTTCCCTGAATGAAAAATTTATGTAATTTTATGGTTTGCTTGGACAGAATTGTAAATTATATGTAACATGAAAAGAAGTAGAAGACAAGAATGATCAGTATTAAAAAGTAATTTCATGAGGGTAGAAGAAGATAGAATGGGGCCATCTTCTTGTCCATGAACAAATTACATTTTTATGCCTTTAAAGTTGTACTTTATTTTCCCTTTAGAATATATTCCTCAATGTCACTCTGTACAATGAAGCCCCAGTGAAGGTACAATAAATTATTTTTAAAATGCAGATTACTTTCTCAACAGGATTTTTTTTTCCAAGAGGGCTTTAATATGGGTTTGGAGTGCTAACATTACAACAAGAAAGGACTAATATTTTAAGTGATTTAGGCTTTTTAGTTCGATAATATTGACAACATCATCAATTTACCTGTTGGTATGCCCAGTTTAGCAACTTGTATCTGTAGGACCGTCTCATTGGATAAGAGAGACTATAAATTGCGTGTAGTACAGCAAAAAAGAAACTGAGAAGCCCAAACTGCTTTCTTGTTAACATCCACTTATCTAACCAAGGTGGAAATTTCTTATATTTGGTTCCATTATGAAGCTGTACAACTGCTGCTATCACACCCGGCAAATAAACCAGCGCCAAGAGAGTGATGGAAACCATTGGCAAGACTTTGTTGATGACGAGGATTGGAATTTTATAAAAATATTGTTGATGCAAAGTTACTAAAGGGTGAATTATTTCCCTTAAGAGAGTGTAAAGAAAAGTCAGAGATGACACAATGGCAGCTATTTTAATGGGCAAGCGCCACTGCACAAAGAGTTCCTGTCTCTCCTGAAGTTCCAAGGGACAATCAAATTCATTAATGTGGGTGGTCTGTGGTGAATGCAGAAGCACAGGTCTTTTCAGCATGCTGGTCTCTCCCATGTCCTTAGTCTAGAAAGGAAAGGAAAGAAAAAAAAACATCGTAAAAAGAAATGAAACAATGAAATTTCTCTTTCATCTAATTTATCATTGCTCAATCATTGTGCTTTGCCGTGGACAAGGGCATTCTGAATCTTGCTTTTGGATACTGGTTAGGTGAAGACTGTACAGTTTATGTAGCACTGACCAAAGGTGCACTTAGCTATTCTGAATGTCTCCATTAATTTCTGTTATTTATTCGTCTTTAAGACAAAAGAAATAATTTCTGCAGATATCTCCATCAGAGCTAGGCCATTTTTGTCTATTTTGAGATGAGAAAAAAAAAAAAAAATGGAATATGGAACTGGGAAGCCAGGATTGGCAAGTAAAGTTTTAAACAGTCTACTAATTTTTGGTCAAAATAATAAAATTGGCAAACTGTGATAGCTGTGTTCGCTTTATCATATTTTGTACAAAGCACTGAAGAGTGAATTCTTCACGAGTTCAAATACAAAGGGTTAGGAATAATTAACATTTGATAAAATATGCAACTTCTGTTATGTAGTCTTGTATTTTAATTTTATAGTTCTAAAATAACTCATTTGTCTAAGTAGACAAAATTCAGAAGGTATAAAAGGCTACAACTAGCTAACTTCCACAGAGATAACCTATTTCCTGAGAAAGTTATACTTTTTTTTTGCCAGTTCCATTTCTAGGTGGCCAACAATTTCAAAGAAGGCTGTATTGAATAAGCTATCATTTCCCCAAATGAGTGATACATGGAAAATAAAAGGGCTCAAAATTTACTTCTCACTTAGCATGCTATTCCTTATCTTTGTAACTCTGTATGTGAAGCCAGAACATTTTTATGCTTGAAATGATGGTAGTGATTATCATGTTCATCTCATTTTATGCATAGCAGTTTTAATTCACACAGTTCTCTAAAATCTTCAGTGTTTAAAAATGACCTCTCTCGATATTTGAGTTTTACTTGGTGTAATAACTCACTGTTACAGCCAATGCTTTCTCTAACTGTTTCATCTAGAAAGGATACAGCTTCTGTCACTTCTCTACTTTAATATAATCTGAGTATGATTGACTGAGATCAATTTCCTGTTAAGAGTCAACAAGTATGGAACTGCAAAGTAGGATAGTTAAATTGAAAATTGAAAATGATTTTGTTTATGTAGACAATTTCTTTGGGTAGGTGTGTGCTTATAATTTCTTAATTACTTTTCCTTTTAAAGTAATTAAAATAATTTCTGTCAAGTCTGCCCTTAAAGTAACTTAGAAAGGTAAGGGTTTGGAACCAAAAATTTCTGCTACTTTTTCAGTTAAATAATGTGGTAAGAAGCAATGAAACTCATTGCTGACCAAAAATGAGACAAGTGATTCTTACCTAAAAATGAATTTAATTGGTTAAACAGTGAACCATCTGTCCATTGGTGATTTTTTGGTAAGCTGCCACAGTGCCTGCGTATAAAGCTATTGAGATATGGACACTGATGACTTTTTTTTTCTTTTTAAACTTAGAACCACAGAGCACTAGAAGATCATCTGGTCCAATTCTCCCACTTTGTAAAAAAGGAAAAAACAAAACAAAACGAAAAAACACCGCCCCCAGGCTTTATAGAGATTTATTTAAGGTTATCCAGCTAAGTCTTTGACAAACAAAGCACTATTTCTCACATACACACCATTCTGCCTTTTAGCGTGGTATCAGTTATACAAATTTGAGGGCAAAAATCAGCAGACAGCTTGAAAATTACTTTTATACTAGGAGACACAGAGTAATGTTAATAGATTTCTAATTATTAAGCATATTTTATTGTACCAAATAGTCATCATCTTCTAGGCTTTTGGGCTTCATTTGCCAAAGTTCTTCTTGGTTTTCCATTAATTTTATGAAATAGTATGGTGTCGGCCACCTAGAAAAATAAAAATAATCACTTCTTTATGTACATGCTATTTATAATTAGATCTGTAAGGATTCATTGGATAATATAATATATTCACTTAAAAACTAGAGAGATGAAGTATAATTCAGATAGCGACTAGTTTACACATTTAAAGTGTCTCAGATCAGCATAACTCAAGCCAGCAGCAAATGCTTTTCTTTGCCCAACTAAGTGTGTACTATTTGTGTGTGAGAAACACAAAGGATCAGACTTACATTTTGCTTCAGGAAGATTTAATTCCAGGTTTTTGTTTAGAGACAAAGAGAATTAGATGTGCATCTTCTGAGAGGCATAGTGATGTCAAGGGAGGTTAGAAGCAGCTGATAAGGAATTATGCTTCAGGAAGTTGTGTGTTTAATAAGACTTTGGAGGCTGACTGGAGTCTGAAAGAGTCATCAATTTATTTTATGAGGGAGCATTTCTGTTCCAGATAATGAACAGAATAGACAATATCAGTAGGATGAACCCTGACAATAGCATGAAGGACTAAACTGCTGCATTTTCAGAGTGCCACATTCCTATCTGAGCAATGGGTGTCTTCATTGGTAAGTACATGTCCAGTGAGGTGTTGATTGTTCTCAATCACTGACATGTTAGTTTGCTAAACTTTTTAACAGATAAAGGAATCTTTTCCTTAATGATGTTCACAGGGTCTAATGTGGTATAACAATTTTTTTAGGAACAAGAAATATATGATTTTATAATATTATTTACAGTACTTATTAGGACAACTCTGCGATTTGTGAAATTCAGTGAGGAAAACAGATTAGAATGACGTAAAACATTTCAAGTGTTTTTGAATTTTGGGTAAGTGGCAGTACTTTTTTTTTTTTTTTTTTTTTTTTTTTTTTTTTAGTAAATTGTTGTTTCTGGGAATAGTTTAAAATACTTAAACCATTCTCCAAGTTTTAAGGCATGGATCTTCACAAGGAATATCAAGGAGCCACCTTTACAAAATGCCAACACTTTTTCTGTTAAGGTGCTCCTGAACATTTTTGGTATTTATATCTGGAATATTATCTATTATGGAATTTCAGTACATTCATGATGATGATGATGATTCAGGCTGAAAACTTCCAATCTATAAATCTATAATGCTTTGGTTTGTTCACATTCTTTCCCCATTTTTATTCTGACTTTGTTTGCAGAAATGCCCCTCTTCCATCCAGCACAGTTTCAGGAAGTTGCCAATTACAGCAAACTCCAGGCAGCTAGATTTGCCTGTTTCCAGATAACTGTGATTGGCTTAGGGTTGACACACAGCCCTAGCTGATTAATGACAGTCTGTCTTTGATGCTCATATCTAGAACTGGAATAGAAGGAAAATGCCTTTAATCTGTTATTGGAATAGCATGAAAAGTATCAGTTTTTCAAAGCTAACACAGAGTAGCTGTACAAGAAATGGAGAAATCCAGAGGAACACTGGCAGATACTTTGAGTATTTAGAAACCCTGTTACCAGATTCTGAATTTTTCAGTTACACATTCAATACAGTCGTTTTGGTCAATTAACTTGAATTGGGTTTTGGAAGAATTCTAGGCAGAGCACACGCCAATTATGTAGTATTTGTAGATCCAATTCTATACAGACATTAAAGCAGAGAACTGAGATGTCAGGTCTGCTCTAGAGGAGCTTGCATTCAGCCCTCAACTGGCACTGTTCTGTGTCATCTGCTGATTTCACTAACATAAATAGAATAGTTTGGGACAGGAGGGGAGAGAACATCATCTGTAATCAAACACTGGGAACAATTCACTATACTTAGCAAATGTTCTATTTCTGTGAGTTTCAGTATGGCAAAGGAGTTAACCTATAAATCTATATTTATTCACTATTAATCTGTTAACTATACCGTATACAATGACGTCAAATGGTGGGAATACAAAATTCAATAAGATGAAGCCTCTGCTGTCAAAAACCTTGACGTTTAGAAGGCAAACACTTCAGCAAGTGGCTGCGTGGGGAGGTGATGGATCCGAAAGGGAGTTGGAGTTTTATAGTCAGGCATGGGAAAGGAAGCAGAAAAACAGGCCGAGCGTTCTTGTGTATGCTAGTCCTGGGGCATCTACAAGCTGGCAGCGTCTGCAGACGGAGGGCAGCAGCGTGCCTCCAGGGAGGTCTTCAGAGTCAGCAGGCTGGCGAGGGACACACAGCCACAGTCTGGGGGAAGCAGACCACACTTAGGAGGAATACCAGGCCCCGGCCAGCAGCACTGAGGGACACTGTTGTCCATGGGGCCACAATCAACTTGTTTGCCCAGAAACCACGAAAATAAAACAGCCATCACATTCAGTATTTTGGTTTCCATCAGACGGTAACCAAAATATATAACAAGTTACAAGGTAAAATGCTTTCTCAAAACACACAAACGAATCAACAAACCTGACAGCACACTGCACAACGTTGTCACAAACTCCAGAATTCCATCCAATGTGCTCTCTCTCCCCATGAAAAAACGAGAATATTTCCGATGTGACTGTGATGCTTTGCTGTACCAGGACAGCAGGCCTGGTGTTCCTGCTAAATATTGACACAAGCCAACTCATTCATGTTTATGGCTAGGGTTTATAACACGAAGAAACTAAAGACAGGGCCGCACCAAGGCTCGTGCTGTTTCCAGCCCACTACACTTTCAAGTGCACGCTCGCCCGCCGCTGTCCACAGTTTGCTACGTGAAGGGCGACAGCTCCCTTCACCATGCCTTTTTTTTTTTTTTTTTAAGGGCATCACTTTCCCCCTGTGCTCTAGCATTGATGCTAAATGAATGACCTTTTTATGTTACATGCAGGATATGAAAGGAAACTTTTTTTTTTTACATACAAAGAACACAAACATTTGGAAGGGTTCATAAATCCTATGTCTACAAATCCCTTGCAGTGGATTTCTGCCTAGACTACTTCGGGGAGAGCTGGAAACCTGCCCAGATCTCAGAGGAGCAGGGCCTATGTGCCAAGGACATTAAGAGAACATTGCCTTTCTGCAGACCGAGCCGCGCTATTCCAAGTGGTAGGGGCCCCTCATTCATCAGCACGATGCGCAAACACGCGCTGCCTGGCGAGCCGGGAAATCCGCAGGAGCGCGCACTTCCATCACCACCTGCCCGGCCCGTGCCAGACTCCGCCCGGCGATCCGGGCGCGGGAGGCGGGGGGCGCCGTGGCCCAGGAACCGCACGCGCCCGCCCCCGCGCCGCCACCCCCACTCCCTACAGGGACCCGCGCGGCCCGCGGAGCACTCACCCGCTCCCAGTGGACCCGACCGCCTCGCCGAGCGCCGGCTGGCCGGCAGCGGAGCCGCTGCCCCGCGCGGCCCCGAGACCCCGCTCCCTGTGTCCCGCCACCGCCGCGCCCCCTTCCGGCCGGGCCCGCACCTGCAGCCCTCCCGGCGGGTCGTCCCGGCGTGCCCAGCCCCTGCTCCAGCGCGGGTACCGACGTGCCCGCGGCCACGCTGCACGCCCGCAGTCCTGGAGATCGTTCGCCCGTGCACGCGAGCTCGTGGCGAGCCTGCCAGCGCCTCTGCGACCTGCCTGCTGTGGTCAGGCGAGGAATCCGAGTCTCAGTTTCCGAGAGTGGTTTGGAGCTCGAATTGTTCAACGGTTGCACTCCAGACCTCACAGAGTGTGCTCCCCGCTGAGCGAGCCAGCCCCACGCGCACTTCTTTCCTGCTCCCCGGCGAGGCAGGCGGCTTCCCGTGTTTTAGCCCGAGCTGGGATCCCAAGGCCTCGGCCGAGCTACTCTTAGTGCTGCAGTTTCCAGAGCACCAGGTTGGATCCCGGCTTGGGGTGGTGTCCAGGCTGCATTGCAACATCTGGGGATTTAGTGGACCACATTTCCAGAACCGCCCGATGAGAACGCACAAAGGAAAATAAATACTCAGCTGCGTTTTCCGTAATCGCCCCTGACTCACAGCTCGTTTGCGGGTTTAGTCCTGCTTGTGTCATTTTGTAATCTTTAACTTCCTTGGGTGCCGGGAAAGCCTTTAGAAGCTCAGGTTACCGTAGACTGACACCTTGTGGCCAAAATAGAATATCACACTGACTTCTAGTGAACTTAGAAAATTCGACCAAAATTTTAGAAAAAAAACTCTATGCTTACAGCATGGACTACAAAGAAAGAAGGCAAATTGTTAAGTCTGCTTAAACATTCTTGAATTTCTAAAATGCCCATGAATCTTAAGTAGTTACATAGAGCATTATGCTTTCATTCTCCCAGGTTCGGTAGGACTAAAACAACACCATCTTTTTTCCTATTTTCCACATGAAGAGGACAAAGAAGTTATTATAGCAATATAAATTGGCTAATTTTAGCAAGCTTTGCCTAAAATTACCTTTCCTCTTCTAAGTAAATCTTTTAAAATCAAACCAAAATTTTTATAACTGGATTTTAGAAATTTTAGTTGTGTATACTTCTTGTGAAAGTCCTTTTCCAAATATTTTACTGTGGTGAGTAAATATAGCATGCTCCAAAGCAAACTGATTGAAAACATGAGGTTGCTTTTTACTTGGTAGAAAGTATAAAAGCAACACTGTATTAGATGGAGAAAAATACAGTACTAAAGAACTTTTGCTTCATTGTCAGGAGTTAATATGAGAGACACTATAATTTTTGCATACAAGTGACTTGGGATTATACATATTTTTTGGTGGGGGGAGGACCCAGCCGTGTAGTTCAGGCTGGCCTTGAACTCATGGCTATCCTTCTGCCCCAGTTTCCAGAGTACTTGGGATTATAGTCATGCATTACCACACCTGGCATAATATTATATATAACAATATATAATGTAATATAATGTGTGTGTGTGTGTGTGTGTGTGATACTGAAGCATCACAAAATACTCTGAGTCATACTTTTCAAAATCAGTCTGGCTTGTGGAAAATAAAGTTATGCTAATGTAAATGTTGAAAAGCAGACTACTGATTTCACTATGACTCATAAAAACTAGAGGATTTAAAATGAGGAATTCAAGTGTTAGTTATAAGCAAATTTAGATCGTTGAGAATATTTTGTAAGAAACTTAAATTACATCATATCAACAAAACTTTTCTTCAGTGGCATTTGCAGTCAAATACTAAATTACTTGTAGTGACTGCATCTTAGCGTGTCGTGGAGAAAACGGGATTGCTTGGAATCTGTGGGCACCTTTAGCTGACCAATAACCACCCCACTACCACCACCTGATCGGGCACCATTTTAGAAGTAAATAGAGTGCTCTTGTTATGAAAGATCAGAGAGGTCAAACTGTTAAAAATAATTACAGTTAGCAGAGGGAGTGTGGGCAGAGGGTGGATTTTATCACACTTTATGCATGTATTGAAATGTCACACTGAACCCACTAATATACATGAGATTGCTTATTACTTTGTAGGTATTATAAATGCAACACTATATTAGACAGAGAAAAATACAGTACTAAAGAACTTTTGCTCCATTGTCAGGAGTTAATATGATACACAACACAATTGTAATTTTGCATAATATGTGGCAGTAAAAATTAAATAAATAAAAATAATGACAGTGAACAATAGGCAGTACATTGTAAGTGGATGGCATGAACTATATTTGGGTTGCCTCTTTGGAATTTAAAGTAACTACTAAGGAAATAGTAGGTCAGACATTTGACATATTTCCAAGTCTACCACCTCCTGTGTAAAAGTGGTCTTTTACTAAATTTTAAGGAGAAATATTTTGCTAAAATGGTTAAAAACGTTTCTGATTCTGCTGAAACAAAACCTTTTATTCCTTGTTTACCAGCACAGTCAATGGTAAACATCTGTCCAAGGTAGGTTTTAAGAATAAATCCCCTGAGACCATGTTAAGTGAAACAAAGCAGAGAAACTCAAAGTAATAATTAAGAGCAAAATAAAGATAGTTTTTTTTTTTTCTGGTACCAGGAATCAAACTCATGACCTTGCACTTGGCAAGCAGGCACTTATGCCACTGAACTAAATCCCTGCCCCAAAAGACGGATAATAAGGAATAGGGAGATAGAACTTTTGCAAATAGGAAGATGGCTAAGAGGAGGAGGGAGGCAGGGAGGAGGAGGACGGGGAAGGGAGGAAAACAGAACTGAAATGTGTTATGTACGTGCACCACCTCCTCATGAAGAACGAGATCATTATGTACTGCTAATGTGTGCTGATAAAGGTTGAACACAAAAAGAGTATGCACTTCATTCTGAAGCTTACAGATGTTTCTCTGCCCAAATACTCTAATGACGCTAAAAATTCTGTGACAACGACGAGAATTCCCAAGTCCGTTTATCTATCTCTTCTCTTGACCAGTAATCACCCCTCATGATCTACTCTGCTGTAACTGGTACTCGCTGATCTTACTGCCCTGCGTCTCCAAGTGCACTATCCTTGGCAACGTGTTTGAAGCTGAGGCAGAGGCACACCCAGTCCTGCAGGACAAGGAATGGGTACACGTCCAGGGAAAACTTTCTTCTAAGAATTGAGGCAGATGTTGCATAATCAGCATTCATTATTACTGTGGAACAAGGTAACACGTTTTGGCAAACACCAAGGAATGAAGTTTTCACCTTCACTTCTAATTCTCAACTTGACTTCTAATTTCTGTGTTCATACCAAGCTCCTGTGACTTTGATTCCTTCCTTCATTTGGCTAAATATTGTAGGGAGTGACCGAAGGGAGATTGATCACATGAATGGGGGCCAGCTGGAGAACAAAGAGCTCCTGGGTGCACCACGTGAACAAGCTGCTTCAGTCCAGAAAACACCAAACCCCAAGACGATTCAAGCAGTGGGTTGCTGGGCAAAGGGGTGTCACGTGACATTAAGTTGCTAAATGTGTAAATAAAAATTAGTGGTTAAGCAGTTTCTTTCCTCCTCTGGAGAGGGGTCTCCACCTGACCTCGGCTTTCACCTCTTTTTATTTTCCCACCCTCTTGCAGTTGTTACCCCCAGGAACATCAAGAACCATACTGGTCATGGCAAAATATCTTTCTTATTCAGAAGGGTAAGGATTCTGGGATAAACTTGTGACCTAGCAGTTCTATTAGTTAACTTTCTTGTTGCTGGTAGAAAACATTGAACGCCTGCAACTTAATGAAGGAGAGGTTCTGTTTGGCTCCCAGTTTCAGAGGGTTCAGTCTGAGGTTGGCTGGCTCCAAGGCAGAGATGGTTATGAAGGGCGTGGTGCAACAAAACCGCTTAGTTCATGGTGGAAGCAGAGCAGGGGAATAATGCCAGAGAGGAGAGGCCACAGTCAGATACAAGACCCCAAATCACACCTCTGTGCCCACCCAGACACACAAGTGCAGAAGTGAGCTCCATGAATCCTGCGGGGGGCTCACAGACCAATCGGTTGACAATACAATTTAACTCCTATATCTGCTCAGCCTTAT